CGCGCAGTTTCTGACGGGCAACCCATTGAAGAGCATATATTCTCTGCAAGGGCTGCTGGACCGTGCTGGGACGGCGCGGAACATTTCCTTTGCGCTGCACGGCCTGATCGATGGCTTCCGCAAGGGCTTTGTTGATGCTGGCACCTTCAGTTCCATGAAGATACGAGATCCTCGCGCGAGTTCCTTGCATTAAAATAACATCATTGAACTTTGATTTGGCGAGCTTTTGAAACTTGTCAGATTACTACTTAAAACTGTGATATTAGTTTTCCAGCACCCTTAAAAAAAGGGATTCTTATGATGCGCTCTTGCCCTTTTTAATAATTCAACTTCCTTCAGGTTACGTGGAGGTCTTGAAGCTCAAGCTGGCCGTGAAAGATTACCTGTTGAATGACTGGTTGACCGGTACCACCTTTCCAGGTAAGACAAAGGAGATTTTGAGGGATGTTTTTGGGAGTTTTGCAAGCGTGCGGCAGAAGTTCAGCGCTTATCCCAACCAGCAAGAGGCTGACACGGCCTGGCTGCTGGGCGCTCCGGAGTCGCTGNNCGATGGCCGCTACCGGGATGCCGTCAAATCGAAGCACGAGTCTCCAGACTTCATGGACTACCCAAGCGTCAAAAGGAAGCTTCAAGAGGTGGAAGAAGCCTTGCGCAGGGAGCAAGGGCCAGAAACTGCAGCTGCAGAGACGACTGCTTCAGAAAAAAACGCAGCGTCAGGTCAGAGCACGGCTGCTCCGGCCGAGCCAAAGCAAGGCACGACGTGCTCGTCGAGCATGGAGGAAAAAATGAGCAAGCATGAAGCCGAAGAATGGCGACAACACATGCTGAAGAATTTGAGAGCTCAGATTCGCTTTGTCTCTGACAAGAAATCTGCAGCTGAGCTCGAGCAAGCCATCAAAGACTGCCCGTTCGCGAAATTGCAAGGCGACCCAACAGGCCTGGTCCTTCTTCACTTCGATGTCAAAAAGTTTGGCGAGCCGGCCACTCGCCCAGACCTCCGAATCACCCCTTTACGCGACGGACCTTACACCCGCCTTGTGAGGGCAGTCCTGACCGCTCGCCAACTTGAAGGATGCCCTGCTACTTTGCAGACAGGGGATGTGGCTGTCATCCTGGATGGAGGCAAGAAGGGATCCAAACTGAAACTGCTCACGCCCTGGAAAGAGGGAACGCAGAAGGAAGCCAAAAAAGGCAGCAAGCAGGAGGACGAGGAGGAACAGGATGCTGAGGCTGAACCGGCCGAAGAGGAAGACGAGGACGACCCGCGTCCTGACTTTTGCGCAGAAATC